GCCATAAAATTCATAATTTCAGAAGAAGCAGCCTTATTCAACATATCTATGTACTTGGTTATTTTAATTGATACCCATGAGCAGAGGAGAAGAGTTTTAAAAGAATTCATTGCATTTTCACTATATAATCATTAGAGCCCCACCCTAACACCAGAACCCCTGACCCTGGCACCATGGAATTCACAATTTTGGAAGAGACTTTCTTGCTCATCATAACTATGTACTTGGTTTGTTTACTATCCAGGAAAAGAGAAGAAGATTTTCAAAAAAATAATGCATTTTCACTATATAATCTATATAGCCCCGCCCTAGCACTAAAACCCCTGACCCCGGGGCCATGAAATTCACAATTTAGGCAGAGGCAGTCATATTCAACATAATTATGTACTTGGTGCTGATGCTCAATGCAGATTACAATCATGCCAACAGTTTGACTGCTTGATGTCCAAGAGTAAAGAAGATTTTTAAAAATTGCACTAATTTTAGTGGTTTTGGCCCCACCCCTCAGGCCCCAGGGACCATGAAAGACTTTTTTTTTTATTCCCCTTCACCCATAGATGCTTTATGCCAAATTTGGTTGAAATTGGTTGAGCAGTTGCAGAGAATAAGCTGAAAATGTTCAAATGTTAACACACGGCGCATACCGCACAACGACAGATGAAAACGGATAGCAATAGGTCACTTGAGTTTACTCAGGTGTCTTAAAGAGTTAGGTCAAGGTTTAATACAGGAGAGGGCCAGCTAAAAAACGTTGATGCAACTGAACAGCTCTTATCAAAAGCTAGGGGACATTAAATCTCACTTGTCTGTCCCTCAGTCTGTCCATCTGTCACAAAAACTTCAACCTTGCTCATAACTTTTGATTCAGTGGAGCTATGACTTTTATATTTCATATGTGTATTCCTTGTGACAAGACCTTTCTTTGGGTACCACTAAATTTGACCTTGACCTTGGAGTTTGACCCACTTTTACAAAAAATCTTTTAAACTTTTACTTTGGCCATAACTTTTGAACGGTAGATACTAGGACTACCATCTTTCACAAATGTCATCTTTGTGGCAAAACTTTTATTGGACCATCAACTTTGACCTTTTGACATTGACTTAAGAGATTTCCATACTTAAGAAAAACTTTAACCTTGGCCATAACTTTTGTACGGTAAGGGCTCGAGCTTTCATACTTCACATATGTAATTCTTGTGAGAAGACCTTTCATTGGATATCAAGAACATTGACCCTTTGACCTTGGAGTTTGACCTACTTAAAAAAAAAATCCTTGACCATAACTTTTGAAGGGTTAGGGCTAGGGTTTTCATACTTCACATATTTAATTCTTGTGGCAAGACCTTGGATTGGATATCAAGAACTTTGACCTTGGAGTTTGACCTACTTTTTAAAAACTTTAACCTTGGCCATAACTTTTGAATGGTAAGGGCTAGGGCTCTCATACTTCATATATGTAATCCTTGTGAAAAGATCTTTCATTGGATATCAAGAATTTTGACCCTTTGACCTTGACCTTTGAGTTTGACCTACTTTTAAAAAACAAACCTTGACCATAACTTTTAAGGGGTTAGTCCTAGGGCTTTCATACTTCATATATTTAATCTTTCACTGGATATCAGGAACTTTGACCCTCTGACATTGACCTTGGAGTTTGACTTACTTTTAAAAAACTTGAACCTTGGCCATAACGTTTGAAGGGTTAAGGCTATGGCTTTCAAACTTCACATATGCAATACTTGTGACAAGACCTTTCTTAAGAAACCAACAACTTTGACCGTTTGACCTTGGAGTTTGTCCTACCTTTCAAAAACTTACCCTTGGCCATAACTTTTGAACAGGTGGTGCTAGGGCTTTAATATTTCACAATCGTATTTCTGAGATTGTTATTGTGAGAAGAACCTACTTTGGTACCAATATATTTAATTTGCATTTAAGAAAAGATTAATTTTCACTATGTTGCCATATGGGGTCATCAGTGTTTCACAAACACATCTTGTTCCTGTGTGAACAAGATGTGTTCACATAGATGAACTATGTGAATCTATGGGGAAAATGAATGAAAAACCCTTATGAATGAAATAAAATGAAGAATCCTGTAAAAACAAGAAAAATGTCATTTTTTATCATATAAAAATATCAACATAAAATGAATGTTTATCTACATGGCTCTAAATTACACATTATGCAACTCAGTGTGGTAATACACAGCATTATGCAAAACAAAAAAAAGAAAGGAAACAAGAGGCCCATGGGCCACATCGCTCACCTGAGAAGCTTTGACCATTCTGTTCTATACTAGATTTTCCCCTTGTAATACATATTGTGACCCCACCCTACCCCACTGATCATAATTTAGACAATTTGAAATCAACACTACCCAAGGATGCTTCCACATAAGTTTCAGCATTTCAAAGATTGTCCAATATATTTCTATGTAAAACTTTGATTCCCCATTGTGGCCCTGCCCTAAACCCCCCCCCCCCCCCCCGGGTCATGATTTGAACAATTTAGAATCTACACTACCCCAGGATGCTTCCACATAAGCTTCAGCTTTTCTGGCCCAGTGGTTCTTGAGAAGAAGATTTTTAAAGATTTTTCCTATATATTTCTATGAAAAACTTGGATTCCCCATTGTGGCCCCGCCCTACCCCTGGGGGTCATGATTTGAACAATTTAGAATCTACACTACCCCAGGATGCTTCCACATAAGTTTCAGCTTTTCTGACCCAGTTGATTCTTGAGAAGAAGATTTTTAAAGATTTTTCCTATATATTTCTATGTTAAAGTTGGATTCCCCATTGTGGCCCCGCCCAATCCCCGGGGGTCATGATTTGTATAATTTAGAATCTACACTACCCCAGGATGCTTCCACATAAGTTTCAGCTTTTCTGGCCCAATGGTTCTTGAGAAGAAGATTTTTTAAAGATTTTTCCTATATATTTCTATGTAAAACTTGGATTCCTCATTGTGGCCCCGCCCTACCCCCAGGGGTCATGATTTGTACAATTTAGAATCTACACTACCCCAGGATGCTTCCACATAAGTTTAAGCTTTTCTGGCCCAATGGTTCTTGAGAAGAAGATTTTTAAAGATTTTTCCTATATATTACTATGTAAAACTTGGATTCCCCATTGTGGCCCCGCCCTTCCCCCGGGGGTCCTGATTTGAACAATTTAGAATCTACACTACCCCTGGATGCTTCCACATAAGTTTCAGCTTTTCTGGCACAGTGGTTCTTGAGAAGAAGATTTTCAAAGATTTTTCCTTTATATTTCTATGTAAAACTTGGATTCCCCATTGTGGCCCCGCCCAATCTCTGGGGGTCATGATTTGAACAATTTAGAATCTACACTACCCCAGGATGCTTTCACATAAGTTTCAGCTTTTCTGGCACAGTGGTTCTTGAGAAGAAGATTTTTAAAGATTTTTCCTATATATTTCTATGTAAAACTTGGATTCCCCATTGTGGCCCCGCCCTACCCCCGGGGGTCATGATTTGAACAATTTAGAATCTACACTACCCCAGGATGCTTCCACATAAGTTTCAGCTTTTCTGGCCCAGTGGTTCTTGAGAAGAAGATTTTCAAAGATTTTTCCTATATATTTCTATGTAAAACTTGGATTCCCCATTGTGGCCCCGCCCAATCTCTGGGGGTCATGATTTGAACAATTTAGAATCTACACTACCCAAGGATGCTTCCACATAAGTTTCAGCTTTTCTGGCCCAGTGGTTCTTGAGAAGAAGATTTTTTAATGAACCCACCCTATTTTTGTCTTTTCTTGATTATCTCCCCTTGTTAAGGGATTTGGCCCTTCATTTTAACAATTTAAATTCCCCTTCACCAAAGGATGCTTTGTACCAAGTTTGGTCAAAATTGGCCCAGTGGTTCTTGAGAAGAAGTCGAAAATGTGAAAAGTTTACGGACGGACAGACGGACGGACGGACAACGGACACAATGTGATCAGAAAAGCTCACTTGAGCCTTCGGCTCAGGTGAGCTAAAAAGGTGATTGGTGACAAGAAAATATAACAAGGGGCCCATGGGCCACATCGCTCACCTGAGCACTGTAGCTTGGAAAAAAGCAGAAATCAATTTATTATTAAAGTGGTCCCAACCAATCCTTAAAGGGGAGAGGGTATGATTTGAACATACTTGAATCTACACTAACTAAGGATGCTTGCATATTTCTTTGACTACCTGTGGCTTTATTGCCCTTAACATTTGAACTTACATTCTGGCCCCGCCCTACCCCCAGGGGTCATGACTTGAACAAACTTGAATCTACACTACGTGAGAATGCTTCCATATGAATATGACTAATCATGGCTTTGCCATTCTTGAAAAGAAGATTTTAAAAAAAATTTTCTACATATTTCTATGTAAAACTTGGATTCCATGTTGTGGCCACGCTCTACCCCCAGGGGTCATGATTTGAACTAACTTGAATCTACACTACCTAAGGATGCTTCCATATAAATATTACTAATCATGGCTTTGCTATTCTTGAGAAGAAGATTTTTCAAGAATTTCCCATTATATTTCTATGTAAAACTTCGATCAGCCATTGTGGCCCCGCCCTACCCCGGAGGTCATGATTTGAACAAACTTGAATCTACACTACCTGAGGATGCTTCCATATACCTTTCATCTTTCCTGGCACAGTGGTTCTTGAGAAGATTTTTAAAGAATTTTCCTATATACTTCTATGTAAAAATTTGATCGGCCATTGTGGCCCCACCCTACCCACAGGGATCGTGATTTGAACAAATTTGAATCTACACTATCTGAGGATGCTTCCATATATATTTCATCTTTCCTGGCACAGTGGTTCTTGAGAAGAAGATTTTTAAAACATGCCACCAAATTTTCACTATTTCTGAATTATCTCCCCTTGAATAAGGGCACGGCCCTTCATTTGAATAAACTTGAATCCCCTTCACCTACAATCTAATTAAAATCAGACTTCTTAGATCCGCACCGTATTCACTCTTACGCAGAGTGAATACGGCACGGATCTAAGAAGTCTGATTTTAATTAGATTGCTTCACCTAAGGATACTTTGTGGCAAGTTTGGTTGAAATTGGCCCAGTGGTTCTTGAGAGGAAGATGAAAATGTAAAAAGTTTACAACGACAACGACAACAGACGATGGACAAATTTTGATCAGAAAAGCTCACTTGAGCCTTCGGCTCAGGTGAGCTAAAAACTGCTTGGCAGTTACATCAATTCAAATCCATAATGCTTCTTCTCTTTCATTTTTCATAAATATTCTAAGAAACTATCAACACAAATATCAAAATTTTACGTAGGTGTTTCAACTTATTTTACATGTAATTAATACCTCTAATTAGCGCATTTAAATTTCCATAAATTCAATTCAATGACATATGACTAAAACATAAAGTTTGAAAATAAGTAAATGAAAAAATATGTCTTGCTTTGCAAGTTATGGGGTTAACAATGAGCTATATAAAACAGCTAGGTAAAGAAATATGAACAGTGAAAATTTTGAAAACTCTAATAAGTTTGTAGGACATATTATTTGCAAGTATCAAACTCTGTACATGAATATCAAATGACTTCAGAAATTCATTTTTATCTACACAGTAGAAACATTTTATTATACAGGAGAAATTTACAATTTTTTCCAAGTAAATAGTTCAATCTTTGTCTACAGGACACTGCCAAAACTGAAAATGGGGACAGTGGCATAGAATTAATCAATGTTCTTTGATGAGTGATATCTTTTTTATACAACAGATATACAACAGTGTCATGAAGTTTGTTTATCCTTTTCACAATCTACTTTGCTTTGATATTTCCAATGTTATCAGAAAAAGCCATCATCAAATTTGACACAGTTTTGTTTTATCAAACTCCTGACTAAGTAAATTGACATGTTTCTCCTCATTATTTAGTTTGGAGACAGGCAACAAATCAGGATTCCATGATTGTTCAGATTTCTTTACTGGCTTTACAGACATCTCATAACCCAGCAATTTTACCTGTACAGGATGAATGTTTTCAATGTCTACAGATTTCGGTGAATATTTCTTGTTTACTGATTTCCATTTTCCATATTTGAACAGAAAGAAAAACACAAGTAACAGTAAGAGAATGATCACCATGGCTGCTAACACACATATGATAATGGTTGTTGCATTCTTATTGTTCTTGATTGGATCTAAAATGATAATGAAACCAAAATCCTTTAAACCTTATCCTCATTTACTTGTTCATATATAATTGTAGTAATATACATTTATTGACTATGTTCTCGTGCAAAATGCGTTTTGTCGGACCCAAGAACCAAACTGTTTAACGGCCTCAGGCAGACAGTTTGGTTCGAGGGTCAACAAAACGCATTTTGCACGAGAACATATAGTCAATAAATGTTTTGTTATACCTTTCATTTTAATTTTTTTTTTTGGACATACATGTATTTTGTACTGTCTTCCGTGATGTAACCTCAGGTCTGTCACTTTTGAACACAAGTGAATGAAAATGAGATTTAACTCCACCATTCTGTGACGTAAGCGGTCCAACATTTCATCGACCTGTCCAACATTTCACTCAGCGGTCAAACATCTATCTTTTTATGCCCGCTCAACAAAACATTAGAAATGTTAGACCTCTTTCGTATAGATTTATATAGGAACAAATTTTTAAAGATATAACAATGTATTTTATTCCCAAAACAGATAAAAACTTCTGCTTTGAAGAAATACAAGAAATCAAAACAAATATATTCCAGAATACAAGACTTAATTGCATCTATAAAATTATGGACTTCATTGTTAGCTGATATGTGGTTATAAAAACTCAGGGCAAGTGAAATGGACCGAGGACATAGTAAGTGAGAGAGACCAAGCCTGCGAGGTCACTAACATTTTTTTGTGTCTGAGGTCAATATCACTTGCCATGAGTCCTTATAAACCACAGATTGACTGTTCACTGAAGTCCATATAGTTATATTATATAATCACTCGAAGTGAATCGATCTAACTGAATTGACTTGGCTGTCATTACATCACAATGGTAAAAACATGCTTCTCATATTATGACTTCACGTTCTATGTAACTTTGATGCAGGTGAATATGATGTGTCATGTGACATCATATATTCTCGCATAATCACCGGTGTTAGATAGACTTCTCCCGTGTGAGACAGCAGTGTGAAATTTTTCTTTCTCGCATAATTACCAGTGTTAGATTGACTTGTCCGGTGTGAGACAGCAGTGTGAGATTTTTCTGTCTTACACTGTGTATTACTACGCCGCGAACGATAACGTTAACCTTCCGTCTTAATATAAAGAAATTGTATTAATGTTAAAAAATATCACATATAATTAAAATGTTGTCATTTAACTTATTAAAATAAACTTATTTTCATTCAAAATATTGTCGTATTTTCACTTTTTAAAATGCACTATATTCAGATCGCGGAAGAATTCTTCTAGAATGAATGTTTACGCTATCAGATAGATAAGTTTTTTATTCCCAGTTTTAATCTATCTAATTAATTTACATGGACTGAAATTCATTTTATTAGTTTACACTATGTGTAAACCATTTTCAGGTACGCTCTCTCCGATGGTGTATTTAGATTTTTGATTAGATGGAAAATTTAAAAAATATTTTTTTTAGCTCTATGGCGACGTCATTGAGAGGCCGTTAATTTGGATAAAATAATGCGAGAAAAATAATCATTCATTACTTACTCGTGTGGGAATAGTGAAATTCCACCTTGGGGCCAAGATTCACGGTCTAGGACTCGGCAAAGCCTCATCCTAGACTGTGAATCTTGTCCCCTCAGTGGAATTTCACTATCCCACACTCGTAGTAATGAATGATTCTATTATTCCACATACATGCTTTTGCATCAGTATCACAAAAGGAGGAACACATGTGACATCCTTTCAGCCAATGAAAATACAAAAATAATCTTCTTACTAATATATAAGATTATTAAATGATTGTGTTCCATATAAAGCATTACCTTTTTCTGCCTCTTCTTTAACAATCACAGAAGGGCCAGGCTCTGGCAGAGTTTGTTCTTCTATTGTTGTTTGTTCATCTAAATTAAAATTCTTAATCAGTTACCATAATAGTTATAGTCTACCTTTAGCCTTATTTCAATATTCCTTTGTATTTTGCAGAGGTAAAATACAGGATATGGTTATCTTTTGAGGGGGAAGAGGGGAAAGGGGCATTAAAAAATTCCACAGGATCGGATTGTTATTTCTAAGTTGGCTGCTCAGCCACAAAACCCTCTTCTTCAAATACTCAATGAACTTTAATTAGTATCAAGATTCTGCAAACAAGTTTGGAACGGGAATGGCTTGTGTGTAAGAATAGAAAAAATACAGGTTTGAACTAGGCTATTTATGCAGACAAAATAATCTTACCTAAACAAACAGGACAGCAATCTCCAGGTATGCTGGTCATGTATTTACAATGTATGGTGGGACACGACTGCTCTACACACACAATTTTGCCATCAATACAATAACATTTTGTACAGTTGTTCCTCAACCAGTGCTCTCCTGAGGTATATTTTACTCCCTCATCTGTACATACTTTCTGATGGCTCAAGTCTGAAATTTTTGCAAGAGTTCCTTAAATATATTGAATCAAAATGGCAATTGCATCTAAAGCTTTGGCATTTTATTTTACATACTGAATATTCTGTTGTTAATTACTGATTCAGAGCTGGATTACTGGATTTTCATGCATGTTGTTTATACATGATAAGTGGCATAAAGCAGTATGTCATGATTATATTGCAATAGTAAGACAATACATATGAATTAAATAAGAATACGGTACAAGGGTATCATCAAAACATGGAGGAATATTTCTCAAAAAAAATTCTTATGGCATATTTAGCATTATAGATTTCCCGATGTGTACATTTCCATGCTTTCAAAATGATAAATAATTCATAGAATATATTGAATGTGTACTTACACACCCTTCCTATCATATTTATAATGTGTAATTCCTCATTTGACAACTGTTAGGATATGATTTTGCTGATTTACCTAGACAAGTTGGACAACAGCTGCCTTTGCGTAGGACTGACTTGGGGCAGGTGACTGCTGGACAGACCTGGGAGACACAGTGGACCTGACCACTTCTACATGTACAACTCTGACAGGGATTAGTCTTCCACACATCCCCGTCACTGTAAACAAACCTATTGTTGGTGTGACAGATACCCTTATGAGGGAGACTGAAAGTTTTCAAAGACTTGTCTTCCTCTGTAAATATATATAATATAGTCAGAATGAATAATAATATATAAAAATATTCAAAACACTGTCAAAGGACTAAAAAATTTGTTGATTTGTCATCTAAAAAGGTTTCAAGGGCATTTTATTTTATTGTTTCAAAAGTAACACTATTCAGTATATAGACATATAAAAATATCATGTGGGATTTTATTTCATTGATATATAATTTAATTTTAACACGTCATTTGATTGGTTTAACAGTTTTATTCATTTTGTATAACACAACTTGCCTACATCACAATGAGTTATGTCAAAAATGTATTACTCCGCTTGACGTTAACATTTAAAATATGCTATATTTGAAGCCTTTTTCCGAAGGAAAAAATGGAAAAATTGTCTCATTGTCTACATTGAAATTAAATTATAAGTAATGAAGCTTATTTCAACTTATGTTATACGATAGAACATAACTTTGGGCAGTTTACGCTTTTTTATGGAACGCCATCACTGCCTTATAGCATACGACTATGCATTTATTATGTCAATTTATCATTACATGATGTGAACATATCTTTACATTATGTCCATTTTTTATGAGATGATGTAAATATATCGTAACATCATGTCAATGCTGCATTACATGAAGTAAATACAACCTTTCATTATGTCAGCACTTCATAACTTGAAGTAAAAAATTCATTATGTGAAGTGATAATGTGTTTACATTGTGTTAAAACTTTATTGCACGACATGAATTTTTCTTTACATACTTTCATTTCTTTAATATGTGAGGTCAAAATTGCATTACATCAAGTAAATTGTGTTTTATAATTAAACTTATCATTACACGAAGTCAAAAGCCCATTCCTTTTTGAGAGTGTATATTTCTATTATATCAAAGCATTATTACGTGATATGGATTTATCTTTATTTTATGGCCAGGGCATCATAATATGAGGTGAACACATCTTACCTTTATGTCAGTGCTTTATAACGCGGTGTAAAAAGTGTATAACATAATGTGAACACATCTTTATATTATATCAATACTTTATTACATTATGTCAAAACTCCGTTCCGTGATGTGGATATATAATTACGTTATGTCAACTCTTTCTTATGTGATTTAAAAATATCTTTATATTGTGTTAACTCTTTATCATGTTGATTCCAAAAGTTCATTACCTGATGTTAAAAAACATTTACATTATCTCAAAGCTGTATATTCAGTATATTATGAATGTTGACGACCGTGATTTAATGACTGGTGAGAAGGGGGGGGGGGGGGGGGGTCCTGATTGATTAGGACAAATTACAGGCACATAATATCAACCCCCCTCTTTTCCCAGACATAACTTTACCATAGAAAATGTAGTGTTCATTGAAACTGTACAGCCCCCACCCCCACTTTTTGTTGAAGGATAATCCACTAAGGGTAATATAATATATCTGGGAAAAAATAGGACTGATCGAAGTTGGACCCCTCTCCCCAAAATAGGATTTTCGGGCTTGGACTTTTTTTTTCTTGGCTTGTCAAGTTTTTTCGGGTAAATGATTTTTTTTTTCTGGCTGACCTTCTCTTTCAAAAAAAGATGCTACGTCACTGGAGTTCGTAATTTTTTTTAATCATTCCAGGGCCAGAATTCTATTACAAAAATCTACCAGTCGCTCATCTAAATCAGTTGAATATGCCTTAATTAGTAAGCATGCATGGGTACATATCAGTGGCAGATATGGGAATCTTGAAACAAGGAAGGGGGGCGGTATATGGTTGGAGACCAAGGGCGGAAAGCGGAGAAGCTCTCAGACTTTATAGTTTTATAGAAAAAAGTTTTCAACTTATTTCAGCTAAGCTTATTGTGAAACTAATGCAATGTCCTTCAAAGTTTAAGACTTTTATTTAAAAAAAAAGAATCAAAATAAAAAGAAAAAAATGATTGCTGCACGACTCATAATATTTGATTTATTTAATTATGAGATTAAAGTAAACACCACTGAATTTTGACATGACTTTAATTCTCGATCAGTCGCAGAGTTAAGGCTTTGCACGTCAATCATTTGTCGCTTAAAGTTTTCATTTAAAGATGTCATTCCCAAAGCGCTGAGAATCTCTTCTACGACAGTTTTTTTTTCCCGCCATTTTTAGTGCTTGCAGAACGCTGAAAATACGTTATGCTCATATAAAGGCCGAGGATACCCGTGTTCGCATAACGTAATAGTGAATCGACATAATGTAGAAGAGTGCGCACAGTATGGCATGAGCTTTTCACATCAGTTAATAACAAGGAATCAGTGAGCGAATGCTCACTAGTAATACCCCCGCTCTGATACGAATGTATGCTTTTATGTGAATAATTATACACGTGTTAAGTTAATGAAATGTAACTTTTTAAGTATTTATTTTCATTTAAGGTAAATTCTTTATCATCATTAAAGTTTATGCAGAAAGTATCTGTAAAAATACATAGAAACCAAAGCATCTTGTTAGAACTATATATATATACCGATATTGTGCTGAGAAAAATGCGACGAAAATTTGTTATGTATAAAACAGACAGACGGACGGATAAACAGGAAGTTGACATCGGATTTGAACAAAAATGAATCCCACCGTATGACATGCCTTGGCAAAGATTGTGCTAAAATTTCAGTCATCTGCGATGAACGGTTGCTGAGAAAAATGCGACGAAAACAGAAAAATGCGACAAAAATTTGTTATGTATAAAACAGACAGACGGACGGATAAACAGGAAGTTGACATCAGATTTGAACAAAAATGAATCCCACCATATGACATGCCTTGGCAAAGATTGTGCTAAAATTTCAGTCATCTGCGATGAACAGTTGCTGAGAAAAATGTGACGAAAATTTGTTATGTATAAAACAGACAGACGGACGGATTAACAGGAAGTTGACATCGGATTTGAAGAAAAATGAATCCCACCGTATGACATGCCTTGGCAAAGATTGTGCTAAAATTTCAGTCATCTGCGATGAACGGTTGCTGAGAAAAATGCGACGAAAATTTGTTACGGACGGACAGACAGACAGACAGACACACAAGGGTAAAACAGTATACCCCCCTCTCCTTCGGAGCGGGGGTATAAAAACTAAGATCTCATGAAAAGTAAACATAACGAAATGCAAGTTGACGAAATATAATTGTAGTATGTGTATATGTCATAAAGAGTTGACATAATGTAAAGGAAAGTTAACACGATGCAATAATAGTGTGGGTTAATATCATAAAGAGTTGACATAATGTAATGGAAGGTTGACACAATGCAATAGTAGTTTGGGTTAATGTCATAAAGAGTTGACATAATGTAATGGAATGTTGACACAATGCAATAGTAGTTTGGGTTAATGTCATAAAGAGTTGACATAATGTAATGGAAGGTTGACACAATGCAATAGTAGTTTGGGTTAATGTCATAAAGAGTTGACATAATGTAATGGAAGGTTGACACAATGCAATAGTAGTGTTCTGCTATGAGGCAGTGACGGCGTTCCATACTTTTTTATAAACCGCTTTGCGGTTTATTCCACTTTTTTTGCTCTATTGATTATATAGTGAAAATGCATTAATTCTTTGAAAATCTTCTTCTCTGTTCCTGAGTATTAAATAAACTAACTAAGTACACAGTTATGATGAGCCAGAGTGCCTCTACCAAAATTGTGAAATTTATGGCCCCAGGATCAGGGGTTCTTGTGTTAGGGCACGGATCTATAATGATTATATAGTGAAAATACATTACATCTATGAAAATGTTTTTCTCTACTCCTGAGTAATAAGCAGATGAACTAACTATATAGTTATGATGTGCAAGGGCTCTTCTTCCAGAATTATGAATTTCAAGGCCCATGGGTCAGGGATACCAAAGAGGAGGGAGGGGGGTCTACTTATATACTGAAAATGAATTGTTTGAAATCTGCTCCTTGGTATTAATCAAACATTTTTGATAAGCAAGTGTGCCTTTTCAAAAATTGTGCAATGTGTAGACCTGGGTAGGGTCAGGGGTTCACGTGTGGTAGGGGCACTTCTAATTATTGCTGAATATTACTGATTAGTTGAAATGCATTTTTGTTCCCCTACCCTGCTTATGGGTATTAAGTAAACAAACTAAACAATTACTAAGTTTATAGTTATGATTAGCAATGGTGCCTCTTTTTAAATTGTGAATGCCTTAGCATCTAGCTTAAAACATGAACCAAATTCAATCATTTGAAAGTTGTTGCATGATGCTCAGGTGACCTATAAGGCCCATGGGTCTCTTGTTTTTCAATGCAATTGTTAATTTTACAGCTATTCTACAAATCTCACAAACAAAAAGACCTGATTTTGCAAAATGCCCAACAAAATTTAGATCTCAATTTTCATTTGTTTGTTTCTGATATACAAATTCATATTGAAAAATGATTTGGAATGGACATGCTTAGCCTAAGCATTAGATATTTGTCCCATATAAGTATATATATCCATTTTCAATTTTCAACCATTAAAGGGTGAAGCAGTTGTACAGTCACAGGGTAAAATATATTTTATCACAATATTTGTCAATCTTATCTAGTTTTTGCAACTGAAAACCACCTGTTGATTTTTTACCAATGAATGTTCCATTCTTTCGTCAAGTTTAAATTCATTTACATGTATGCAAAAATGTCAAAAGCTTATGTTAGGAAGTTTGTATTTTCAATATTTAAAAATAAATTTTCTTCTCTTTAGAACAGTGTAATATGTACTTTTTTAAAAATTCTTGGAGAGGAATGCATTGGTTATAGTGAACCTCCCACAAACTAATATAACACTCATTGTGTCTGTCCGTCACACTTTTGTGTCCACTCCATAAAACTTTGGAGGCACATACTTACCTGAGGGTGTGTCATGACCTTGATTCAAGGTCATTTAACCAAGATCAATGTCTCATCATTAACAACAACAAAGTTTATCCTGCCTCTGATCAAAATCTTGAAATTTCATTGGCTGCATGAGAGCAATACTGTATTAAACGATGTTATGCTGTCTACCCACCTTACATTGCTAATGTGCCCACTCCACGTGACCTACCCACTATATATTAAAATCTATCAACCACACATCATCATACTGTTTTCACATGACCCCGTGTGGAGCTTCATAACTGACGTCACAATGCGTCTGTCAAAAACAACAGATGTGGAACGATTTACTTCCCTCAGTGAAAGCGATATATCGATACTATAAATATTTAGTCTTTTAGAGAACCATCGTCAAGATAAATTCATTACGCCTCACCAAATATGTATTTTTTCAAGGACCCCACATATTTCCGTATTTATATACCCCTCTAAGTGTCTATATAACTAATAATGGTTAGTCCATGAAAAAAAAAAAATTGGATAATCATACTTGGCACAAAGGTTGCTTATAACCTGCAGATGTGTCATAACTCTGACCCATGATCAGTTAACTAAGGTCAAGGTCACATTTGTAACATGGTTTTTATCCAAAAACTGGGTATTAGACCTTTTAGGGCAGTTGAAGTTTTTGTTTGTTTGTTTTCTGTTATGAAGTATTTAGGGATAAATAATCAAGATGATAAAACACATATGACCTTGAAGTTTAATGCTTTTATATCATTTTTGAAATGACCTTGACCATGAAATTTCCATGAAAATTTATCAGGTAAGCAATATACTCATCTTCATAACTTGGTATATTATTTCTAAGCTTAAATTTCATTATAATTATTGAAAAACAAAGGAACAGTTATGCTTTCCAGGATAATGACCTTTAAACAGTGGTTGCCATAGCAACATCCTATCACTAATTAATATATATGATAATATTTTCTAAAAAACTATAGGTATCTAATATGTACTTGGAAAATTATATCATTGTAACTTGAAAAATGAACATTTTATTTAAGTTAAAGATTGTATGTGTATATTTCATCATTTCTTTAAAACAATTCAGCAGAGACAGTGCTTACTTATAAAAACAATGCAGCAGAGTATAAAGGGTTATAATTAATTGATATAAGTTCAGGGCCATTTTATGCATAAAGTGAACCTAGCTCTTTAAAATTCATTCCATTTGTCTTGATTTTTATTAAGAAAACTACATGCATATTTATTTCATTTCAGTTTCAACAGATTAAAAAAAATTAAGAAAACCACAAAACATGATTGTTTGAAAATCTATTGATATTTTTCCAGAGCAAATGTCATACAATTTAGTTCATTCTGCATTGTCACCAAAATTAAAACCAAGTGGAGATCTACATCACTTAATTTGCAATGATTGTATAGTATTTTATTAGATACAACTGTAAAAGATAAACATACTAATTCACAGTGCTCAACGGTGCTTTAATTATCATCAAAGAATTACAGAACCATCGGGGTAGCAACATGGTGTTTTAACACTAATGAACACTTCAAACACAAACCACCTAACAATTACCCCTACACTCGCAATCCGAGGAACCATTAATTACCTCCAAAGTAGTGTAAAAACACTTAATTATGAGCGTTTATGTAGAGATTTTATATCTGCAAAAATAAATTTTAATAAAAGATATTGCGTTCAACTTTACATATTTTTTATTTTTTCTGACTAACCGATTACAGATTTTCTAACCGATTGCCATTGTTCTGACAGAGTAATCAGTTAACCGGTTACAAATTGCCATCCCTAAAAAATATACATCAATACATGTGAATGTTATGTTTCCTTAAGGGGATATTAATATGCTGTTTTACCCTGACCTTGGCAGACTGGGCAACAGGTGTTGGGTAGGATTGTGGGATAGCTACACAGCAGAGGGGGGCAGGCCTGAGTCTCACACAGGATGCTGCTACTGTGACACAAACACTGAGTGCAGTTGTCTAGGTACCAAGTCTCCCCCTCCACAAAGTAACGTCCATTCAGAGACTCGCACATTTCCCTTTTGCCTTTATGGGGTAAAACAATATTTCCTGTAAAATGCAAAATAAATGGAAAGAAATGAACCAGAGCCATTGCTATACTTTGAGTACTCGCAAAAGCTATGAATGAATTTTAATGTTAGTTATGATTAATCGCAGCTGTCTTTGCATGTTTGCGAACATATTGCTCAATGCGTCTCATGTAATCTTGCAACATGCATTTTACAATAATCACTGCAGGATTTATGGGCTTTAATTTGGCATGCTTTGCCACTAGTTGATATACCATGTATAAACATCTCGGACCACATTTGACAATAGCATCTTCTCTTTCATTCAACTGTCAACTGAAGAGCCTTGTAAATGGGCAGTATATATACGGGCATCCCCCTCTGACTCACATGATCATTCTTACCATGGAATGCATGATCCCAAAAGAGCCCCTCGTCCTACTGCATTGGTGCATGTTCAATTGTCTGATCACCTGATCACTTGCTTGATCCTTTGGCATTATATATCTTACATTTCTGGAAAATTTGGGTCATGCAGATACAGCATCCGAAGCAATTCTGGTAGTGTGCATTCTTAGATGTATCATGCATGCAAGTTTAGTTAACATAGGGCTTATAGTTACTTGGAAATGAGACCTGCACAAAAAATTTAACCAGTGCTCGAAGAACAATAACCTGGTCATTCCTTAGCTGAAATTGAAGCATCTGAAACAATAGTGACTGTTACAATGAAACACACTATATGCATCTTTTATGCATCTTTGTTTAATGTATATGAGGTGCCTTTTTGGTATTTACTGCCAAAAAACCTATTCGAATAGGTGATATCACCTATTCAATTGGTGATATTGAATAAGAAGATTATTTTCGTAATTTTCATCAGCTGAAAAAACGTCACGTGATATTCCTCCTTTTGTGATGTTGACGCAAAAGCACGTCAGTGGAAAATTATATCGCACGACACACCGTTCGGTTGCACTAAAGTTAAGTGGAACGTGACGTCATAATATAAGAAGTGTGTTTTAACCATTGTAATGACAGCCTGTGTCATATAGTGAGACTTCCGCCATAGTGAGACTTCCCCCCGGAAGTCTGGCTATATAGTGAGTCTTCCCCCTGGGGGGAAATATGGCTATATAGTGAGACTTCCCCCCATAATGACCATAGTGAGTCTTCCCCCTTCGGTTTTCGGTTTCGGATTTTATATACATTGACATGATTAGATATTTATTGTATGCTTTACGGACCTTTTAACTTTTATAAATTTTGAAGTATTTTTAGGATTTGTATTTCATTTTGAAATTAAATTTGCGTGATATTAATGAAATTACATCACTATAAAATCAAATAAGATGGATTTGAGTTCTAATACACTTTAAATCAAATTCTGACTGTCATGCATATTTTAGCAAAGGCACCGGATGCATGGATTGGACTTACCCCCCCCCCCCCCCCTTTTTTTTTTTTAAATTTATGACCGGAAAAATTGCATGAAAATGTGTGTATCCCCTGCTCATCACACCCATACATCAATTCATACAATTATTTTTTTCATTTTGGTCGTGTTTTAAAAATCATTTATTTAAAGATATTTTATTAAACTGGGTTTGGACGATTGGATGTTTGAATACACGTATAAAAAATACGTAAAATTAAAAAAATATATACTGCATTGCAATTGTCACTTAGTTGTCTAAACTATTTTGCACTAAAGTCGAAGATGGCTAATTGTCAATTTTAGTGTGTAGATCTGCTTTGTCGCAATTTCATTTTTACACTTTATACGTTGAAACACAGAGCGTGCATGTATGCATCAGTCAATACTTGATTGAGATAAGATATTTGAACATGAATTTAAAAAAATAACAAAAATAACTCATTTGTTAACTTCAACACATGTACAAACCAATAAGTTGTTTGTTATTCCTAAATTAACACTATTAGAATTTTTAAAAATAATAAAACAATGTTCCGGAAACAATAATAAAAGGGGGAAGTCTCACTATGAATGGGGGAAGGTTGGCTATAAAGTGAGCCTTCCCCCGGAAGAACGGCTACCAGGGTATATAGTGAAACTTCCGTGGGGGAAGTCTCACTATATAGCCATTCTTCCGGGGGGAAGACTCACTATATAGTGAGCCTTCCGGGGGAAGCCTCACTATACGACACCGGGTCTGTTCAGTTAGGACTGTGTCAGTGCATTCACTTTGAGTGATTATATAATATAACTATTATGGACTTCAGTGAACAGTCAATATGTGGTTATAAGGACTCATGGCAATATTGATATTTATACATTAATATTGATATATTATATAAGAAGATAATTTTCGTAGTTTTCATTGGCTGAAAGTACGTCACATGATATACCTCCTTTTGTGATATCGGTGCAAAAGCGCGTCCGTGGAAAATAATATCGCACGACACAACGTTCCGTTGCACTAAAGTAATGTAGTATGTGACGTCATAATCTAAGAAGCGTGAATTTAACCATTATGACGTAATGACAGCCAAGTCCATTCAGTTAGGACCGTGTCAGTGCATTCAATTTGAGTGATTATATAATATAACTATTATGGACTTTCCCAGCTCTCTGATTGGCTCAAACTTGATCACATGATTAAGTATATAACAGCATAAAGACTTGAGTTACTATTTATAGAATCTGAAATGCATATCGACTTGAGGTTTCTTAAAATGAAACAAAATAGTACTGTATTCAATCAAAGCTCAGTGTATGATTTGATGTTTCTAATATTAATCAAATAAATGAAGTATTCTGTGGGTGTAATTTATATAAAGGGAGAAAACTCATAATTTGCTTTGTCAATGGCAATTGCCATGAGTCCTTATATACCACATATCGACCTCGCACACTTTTCTGAAGTCCATAATTGTATAATATTGCAGGCTCGGTCGCTATTACTTTCTGTGTCTTCGGTCAATATCAATTGCCATGAGTCCTTATAACCACATATCGACCTACACTGATGTCCATAATTGTATAATATCACCTATTCAATTGGTGATATCACCTATTTGAATAAGTGATATCGATTGGAATTGGTGATATCACCTTATCATTTTGAATAGGTGATATCACCTATTCAAATTATTTATGAAATAACAGCAGCTCCCAAGGCTATAGGTTCTTATATCTCATTTTCTTTCACTTTTGTTTCATAACTCATCATTCTCGGAGACAATGGATCACTGTGAGTTTGCATTTAGTTTTAATCACCCTAGTAGATATTGTAGTTTGTTTTGATCACAAATTAATTTATTACACTTACCTATCATGTATACTGTAAGACCAGATGTGTTTGTGAAACACTGATGCCCCCCCTTTCATTCTTGTCCCCTAAGATTGACCCCTTTAAAAGTTAGTGCCCCTTTGTATGAAAAACCTTGTTATCACTACTCCTCCGAAACCGTAAACTGTAGAGATATAAAACCTTCAACAATGTCTTTGACTAATTTAGCAGACTCTTCAATCTATTCAGTGCAAAAGGATTCATAAACCCCTTTGAGTAGTTATAGCCCCTGACAGTCTATGTTATTATACCTCTACTGATTTTTCACTATATAAAAGTAAATCGATATATTTTGCTGATTTCCTAATATAATCACCGTAAATAAACCGATTCCCTGCAAAACAGACTGATTCCCTGCAAAAAAAGTACGTTTTTATGATGAACTGATACACACCTATTCGGAATGCTTGACATTTTCTTTCAACTTACGACAAACTTAAAAATGTTCCGAATAAACTCATGAATATTCATTATTGAATCGAAATGCATCGCAAGTCAACTGGTCCCATATCAATCAAAAAGAACCAGTTTACTGGAAGCGAACAACAACAGAAATGGCGTGCTCAAATTTGAGTAATGTAACTTTCGATTTTACTTAGTAAAAACTCGGACAATGAACTGATTTATTGATAAAATGGAATTCCTTTCATGGCTGTATTCTGTTTTGTCATATTTTTTATCTATTCCTGTTGGAATTAAACATTGTTACTGAATACAGTATTGAATATAATTTCTTCAAATGTCTTGTTTGTATCGGTATAATAAAACAGTTAAAGTATATCATTTCGGGAGTCAGCAAGATTCCAGTTCCCCTCGAGCACGCCTATTTCCCTCGGCGCAAGCTCCTCGGTAAATAGACTTGCTCTTGGGTAACTGTAATCTTGCCGATTCCCTCAACGATATACTTTAACTGTATAATGTTTACGAATAATTAAAACTTTCTAAATGACAAGTCATAAAGACATTGGGCCACCTGCATAAGAGCTGTTGACCTTCACCTTCAAATTTAGGTCATTGAAAAACTACAGGAATTGTTGATAAAAGCTTTTTATCCAAATGACCTTGACTTTTGACCTTGACCCTTACTGAAAAGTAAAAAATAAATATTCATTACCTTTTCCTAGATTCAGTTTCAAGAGTTGAACTCAAGTTTTTTTGTTTGGTGTGTGTGTGTGTGTGTTTGGAATGACCTTGACCTTTGAACTTTCACCCCATGACCCAAAGGTCACAATCAAGCTTATATAGGTTCGTGGAGGTATTTACAACTTTCACTTTAACAAATGCAAGAATTTATTCCCCTCCCCCCTTTCTCTTAAAAAAAATCAATAGCAACGTAGAAATATCTGAAAAACACAAATGACACCTCGGATTGACATAAAAAAGTTCAGAAACCTGTAGAAGAGACCCCATAGAGAGTTTACTAATAGTTTCACAGTGAGTCTCATAAGTATAATATGAAATGATAAATTTTATCGGTAAAAAATTAAAAAAATTCTTTACCTGAAATTTAGGTGCTGATGAGCATAAAAATAAATTAAAGCTTGTATTGGCTATTTCTTCAGTTGTTGTTAATAGCACTCCTGCTCTAGTTCGACATTTTAATACCAAGTATTCTTGCTTTAGCATGTGGAATTTATTTCAATTTTATTATTTTAGATTTAATATTAACCCCTTCCATGGCAAAGATTTTAAGGTAGTCCGATCCTCAGGTTTATAAAATTAGCTGTTAAGTGATTAGAAATACTCATAAAAGTATCTCTGAATCCACAAAGTTATGTAAATTTATCCACAGTATTTCTATAAAGTTAAAGGTTTAAGTTAATCATATCATATAGGAAAAATTGTCAAAATTCCAATATTTTTGCAGAAAAAGAGAATTGGAATATCAGCAATGCATTTTCTAATTGCAAATTGATCAACAAATATATTTTAGGTTAAAAAACGATAGGTATCCAGGCATTCAGAGATACTGTCATGATTTTTACACTTATTTGGTATTTTTTTTCTTTTATTTCCATCGTGTATTCTATATTCATAGTATAAAAGGCTTTTGCTATAATTGCAAACCACCACAAATCACTTCTAATTTCATATCATGTTAAAAAGCGTGGTTTCTAAAGCTGGATTCAAGAAAATCTTATTTCCCTAAAACTGTATTAACTTTTTTCCTTTATATAGGGCACAAATGTCAACTTTTATAGGACCTTTTCTGAGAGTTCCAAAAACGTTGAATCTTATATAGATAAATAGAATGAAAATTGTTGCATGAAAAAAAATCATTTTCAAGCTTCATTTTGATGTATTTCAAATTAAATATTAATTTTTGGAGTTATCTTTCCTGACTGAGGATTGACCTTGGATATCCTTAAGCATTTCTGGAGAAATTGATGTTAAGATTTCAATGCATTTTTTGGGATATTTCTTGTAATTTTTGTATATACCAATGTTTATATATTCTGAAAGCAGGTATTGTGTAGTTTCTGAAAATGATACTAAAAATATCATCTCAGTTGCCAGTCCAGAATAAACAACTTATCAGTAAAAGAATAAATCATGCACTTATATTTAGTCACTTATCAGAAATTTCTGTAAGGGCTAATAATAACTCTAGCCTTTTTAGCCTAATATTATCTAAAACTATCAAGTGTTCCTGTTAGTATGTCAATAAAGCCAGGAAAGTAAATGGTTGCATTTTTTCAATGTTAAACACCCTGTACATTCATAAGATTCATGTAGATACATCCCCTCCTATGGTACATGTACAGTCGTTCTCATCTGGTTTCCAATATTTAGTAAAATTCTAATACTTACCAGGACAGGAAAGACAGCAGTCTCCAAGCCTGAAAACAGGGCTTGTACAAGAGGGGTGTGGGCAGGATATCAGGGCACACATCTCCTGCCCCCCATAACAGTAACACATCCGACACCCGTCATGCCAGGAATCCCCATCCTCATGGAGCTGACCTTCTACAGACAAGCAGGACTTTCCTGTATGCTTTGAATCATATCTGGAGGGAGTGTTATTAAGTCTACTGTTATCTGGGGAAAAAATAGGAACTGTAAAATAATAAATCACTAAACTATAGCTACTTTTGCAGTCTGACTTGCCTATGCCATGGACTGATTTATAAACAAATTAGATAAGCATTGTACTTTGATGTACAACCTTCTTTCACAAAATGCCTCCTTTTATCATCTAAGACATATAAAATATATTATTTCTTTTTATTAAATATTACAATAAAAATTATTAAAATACAAGCATCAGTGACACTCTTAGCACTGATTATTACTGTAAACTCTTGCTTTAATTTGCAATTTATGGAAGATGGTAGCATATTTATTTTCCATTTTAAACTCTAGCTTTCATTCACCTAATGCAACTCAAATATATCACAGCTATGAAGATCTTTTATCTTAACCAGGAAAAGTCAGATTAATTGTGTAGATAATGATGTGTTTACATATACTTTCTTACAGCTATGTAAATAAACAAGATGCCAACTTTTGGCTGAGCTCAATTCTATGTATGGTCTCTTTAGGTCAAGTAGTCAAATTGAAAAAAATTAATCCCTTCCCATAAATGTGCTAATTTTCTACCCTTCCATCATTTACATGATCAGCTCAAAGGAAAAAGGCTATTCTCCTGTTGCCAAATGTCAATGGTTGAAAGCATGTTATGAAAATAAATGATCATATCCAGCAAGGCAGTGAAAAAATGTGTCTGATTTTATCAAATCCAGACCTTGAAATTTTTAATTAGTTGAATTGCTGGACTTCTTTAGGAACAATAAAGTTCCCCACCACAGCATGATACACCCATCAAATATTGTTCAATAATCATAAATTGGTTTAAAGTGCAAGAAAATCAGCTGGTAGCCTTGATTACCAGATTGACACAGATTTAAATGACCTTTCCAATCCCTTATCATGTTTGACGTACACACATCTCTAAGAGACTTACAGTGTAGGTATTAATTATAACAAATAATACATCATATAATTCTAAACTGGCTGAGTTACAGCTTAACAAATATTCATTTGCAGCTTTGTTTATTGCATATTTTATGACTGATTAAATATGCTTCAATCTAATAAAACATCAAAAATAAAGTATTCTTTAGACTTTAAGTGAGACATGACACTCCAATTTGTTGCAAATTAATACATAAAAAATTAAAATGAAAAAAATATTATACATTGTACGCATGTATATTAAGTTTTAATTATATTATACAATATTAATTTAGTTTTAATCATGCACTGTATTTTAAAACATCAGTTTGTTTTAATTACATTACACCAATTGAAAGACCTTAATTTATCTTGAAAATTAGACTAGCCATCAAGAAGTCTTTAACACAAGCAATTATAAGGCAGATTTCTTTTGCCCAACTCCCAAGAGATAGAGATAACAGCTGCTTGATCAGAGATGCTCTACCAGTTAGCTCCTGACAATAAACTCATTAATTTCTCTCTAATTTGACATGCAAATTTCTGTATCAAAATTCTTCTTGACCAGTGGTTGATAATTATGCCCATGGGAGAAACTGAATTTCTCTCATATCATTACCGTCCGCCAGGAGGCGGTTGGTTATTTGATATGAAAGTTTGAAGTCGCCCTGTGAGTAAATTAAAACAATTTAATAAAAAAAATTTAACATTCATAAAAGCACAGTTTTGGGCATAGTCTAAAGCAAAGACCGCATTTTATACATGTATAAACAACTTTACTTTCTCTTAAACAGGATTTTTGTATATATTTTAAGGGTCCTCCACACACATACAGCTTATGTTCTCATATTATTGAGCATTACTTTTAACAAGCATATCAACCTCTAAAAACTGACCAGGGATTAAAATGTAATTTATACGGAATTTTTAAAATAATAATTTAACAATTTTCAAAAAAATTTTCCCAAGGCGTTTTCATATGTAGCATAAAATTTTTTATCTTACCCTATTGTATATTTTTATGCTCACAGAATAACCATAAAAATCTAATTTTTTCGATCAACATATTTTTTAGAGAAATTAATTTAATTTATAAAAAAATAAATAGAACTCATTTTCTCTAAAACACCTAGAGAAAAATCAAGGAAGACATCATTTTGTTAAAATTAAATGAAATGAAACAAAATCAATGAATTAGATTACACCAAAAAATTGAATTAAAATTAAATGCACTAATGTATATCATTTAAAAGAAAAAATATTGTTCAAAATCAGTGGTATCAAAGTTCGTTTCTTGGAGTTATCTTTCATTCATTTGATAATTAAATTAGTAGTATAACAGTGTTTAGTAATTACAATTAGTTTTAATTGTTGTACACAGTTGTACAAAAACTTTTTATGCAAAAGAATCATTATCAGGAAATCAATTAACTAAGAATAATTGCAATAGTTACTCATTATCGGCTATACATTTGTAACATCAGAAGTTTTGAAATTTCAGAAATGTTTTACATGTTTACCCTTGATATATTCCATAGGAAAAATATATAATTAGGATACTTTTAGTGAATAACGCACAAAACTTTACTTATTTATTAATATTTATATAAACACAATGAGATGGAGAGTGTATTATTTAAATTCAAAACATATTTATTTCAGTGTGCAAATCAATTGTTGATATTGACATCTTATTTATACACAATGAGATGATGTTGACGATCATATGACAGTGGGTTGATTAGCCTGAAAGTATAAATAACCTAAAAGTTCCCGTCATACCGGCACTCGTTGTTTACGAATTATTATGTAACATAAACCCAGTCATTTGTCTGTCTTTTATAGAAAAAACGGACATCTTTTTCTATCGGTCACTCCGTGACCATGCCATGTGTTCATTGTTATGAGTGTGCTACATACTTTCTCTTTCGAAGACTCTCTTACAAGCGGTTTCCAGGCAATTCGCCGATGCAAAATCGAAATAAAACCGGAAGTAAAAGTATTTTTTCTCTATATACGTCACAAGTCACATGGTGTGGAGGACCCTTAAAATGATGTGTATATATGTATACATTTCCAATGGAAATTTTTCAAAAATATGATTAAATGCTAATTTATTATCTGACAGAATTAGTATTGGGAGATTTTGTTCCAACAGACGACGATGAAGTGCGTTTTACAATATGCCAAGCCTTTTCCCACCACATCTCACACCAAAATAAGAAAGCAAAGAGAAGAAAAGTAGTGGCGGATCTAGAGGGAGATTAATGCGAGCGAGGTTAATGACCTTGTGACTTTGACCTATATGCTAAAAATGGATTTTTCGAATTTTCGCCATTACCTTTGAACCATAGGAGATAGAGACTTCATATTCGATATGCTTACTCCACTAATAAAGTTCTTTCAAGTGACACCAAGATCAATGACCTAGTGACCTTGATTGTGATCCATATGCTCAAAATAGCTTTTTGGAACTTTCGCCATAACTTTTAAACCATAGGAGATAGAGACGTGGTATTTGATATGCCTACTCCACTAATTGAGTTCAATGACCTTGTGACATTGACTGTTACCTAAATGCTAAAAAGAAGTTTTTTTCGAACTTTGTTGCCACCGGGTGCATAGTGTTTCACAAACACATCTTGTTACTTATTTTTGATAAAATTAAAAGTTGCTAATGCAGAGACCAATTCACTTGCATTAACCGTTCAAAATACGTTCACCATTTGCTCTTCGTTCCGTTTACTTTGCGTTCAACGTTCACTTATCGTTCAGTCTTCATTATCATTCGGAACTCCGAAGTGAAAGGACTTATCTTTTTGATGGTAAGGATTTACAATTTATTAATTCAATAACTTAGATATCGTGTTTGAAGAATAATTATTTCATTGCAAAAATTATCTATGATATTTATATTTTTATTATTATAACTCAGCTGCTACTTATGTCATGAAATTTCATTGTAAAATAATACATTAAGTACCTACATGTATGTAGAACGATGCTAAAATATAAATTTTTAAAAAGGGCAATGTACAAATGCTTCAATTTGTTGTAATTTTAAAGATGACAAATCATTAATGGATGTATAATAATTAATCCAAGTCTTTTACAAGAAAAAAATACACAAAAAATTATTTCTACAGTAACTCGTATTTCAAAGTACACGTAGGTCTGAGAATTATGAACAATACTGCAAATATTCAGTAAATTAAGTATCTTTAGAGCTAATTAAATTGATGGTGTGATTTTAAATTTTAGAAAAGACCAACTGTTTAAAATAGTCTATTATTAGAGAAGGAAAATTCCTTCTTTCACCTTACCTAAACATATGTTTAAATAAATGTTTGCCATTCAGTATAATTAAGACCCCCCCCCTTAAATTCTTAGTGAGTATTTTCAGTATATTTTGATTAATATTTAATGTGTATTGTAACACAAGAAAATCAGTCTTCAAACAAACATCAAACGGTCATTAAAGAATAGTATTTTAGAAAACACTTGTGCCGACAGTAGTATTTTAAATTGGCAGGGAATATGTTTCAAATTCAATTTAAAACTTAATCCTTCCAAGTATATATTCCCATTCTTTATTTTTTCTGCAGGAATTCAAAAATCAGATCTAGAAATGATAGGGAAAAATATTAAAACTCCTTGGAAATACTAAGTGACTCTTTGCCTTCGGCATGTTCGGTGAAATGCGATTTCCACACATCCACTGTGTCGAATGATTTTGATTGACAGGACAAGCATGCTACTAGCACGTGGACTTCCTGTGAACCGTGTGAACTTGATGGAAAATAAAAGCCAATGATTACTGTCAAATGGATCTGTTAATCTAAAAAAAATTGATTACCTTTACTGCTTGGAATATTTAGGAAAAATAATAAGAATTTTTAATTGATACAACAGATATCTGAGAATTGAGGGGGTATCTCTCTCTCTTTCTCTCGTACATTTCTCTGTTCAATAAAAACTATGACAGCACATTACTTATTTAGTTTTGAAAATTTAATCTATTACAAATAATTTGAATGCCTCTTTTCATCATCTAATGACCGAGTATAATCAAGGCCGGGAAATGTTTACAGAAGTTAGCTAAAATAATCATGATAAAAGAATACAAAAGACACACAAATATGGAATATTTTGCATTAGAATTTAAAACAAACGAGAGTTTTTATGCAATACGTCGACAGACAACTGTGAATTTAAAAAAAAAAAATCCGTTATTTTACTCAGAATTGCCTTGGCAAGGAAATACATATATGGTTGTCTCAACCGCGTACAATGTAATTAATTCATTCTATAAGTAGTAGTTTTATCTTCTAAAGTCCACATTATTTTATTAGTCAAAAGAATAAGCATATTTACTATATAAGTAGATTAATTTTATATTAAAACTACACGCATTCGGTAACAAATACACATGTTTTACGGCAATTAAAATCATGTTATTAAAATATCGATTTAAAACATAGGTACATATATGAACAGAAAAAATGGTTTTTTTAATTAATTTATTTATTTATAAATTTATCTATTGTTTATTTATATTAAAACACCTGGAATTAGAATTATAGAATAAAAGAATAATCTCAATGCAAGGAAAAAATCGGAGGCATTCCGAATAAATCGTTCATCTTGCATTCACCGTTCGTTCACCATTCACTTTGCGCTCGCGTTTGTGCTCCGTTCGCGTTCTGCATTCACTCACTGTTCACACATTGTTCACCAAGTTGCGTTCAGCGTTCGCACATTGTTCACTCACCGTTCACTCTGCGTTCATTCACCGTTTGTTCAGCGTTCGTTCACCCTTCAGGTGGGAAAGTAGAACGTTTCAGGGTCTGTACTGAGGTGACCAAAATTTGAAAAAGTTGAACAAAATTTAATCCCCCACAAACATTTCTGTTTCTACAGTAGTGTTTTTTGTTTATATTACAGTGCATACCTTATTTACAAAGATTAGTGTGCATACCTTTACATTTACAAAGTTTACAGTCCTGATGATTTTCCGTGTAACCATTTGCACACTTTTTGCCACATGAAAATGGTGGACACTTGTTACAGCTACACTTCTGACAACCATTGTTAGCCACTTTTAGTCCGTATGTACATTGTTTTTTACAGTTTTCCAGCGATGGGCAGATAGAATAAGGTTTGGCGCACTCACAAATTTCCATTCCTTTGGAGTCCAGTTTGTAACCATCCTTGCAGTCTAAGTAACAATTAGCTAAAAAGAAGAAGATTTGACACCCTCATCCATGAATTTATCTCCACAACATCCAGGTCTAATATCCATTGCAGGACAAACAAAATGACTGGCTTTTCCAAAGCCAACTTTCCCTATTTACATAGTAATATTCCCCTATCATTTGATCGTCAATAATATGATCTGGTAGCTAAATAAAGTAGGACAGGCTACTGACAATTTTTCAATGACCCCATCTTTTTTTTTGTCTTATCTTGATTATCTCCCCTTATAGGAGGACTAGGCCCTTCATATTCATAATCTAACTCCCCTCCCCGCAAGGATGCTTTGAATCAAGTTTGGTTAAAATTGGCCCAGTGGTTCTTGAGAAGCAAGAAATGTGAAAAGTTTACAGATGGATTGACAGCTAAATGGACGGATGGGTGGACGACGGACAACGGCCAGTGATCAGAAAAGCTAACTTGAGCTTTCAGCTCAGATGAGCTAAAAATGTTAGCAATATAAAAATATATAGGGAAAAGCAGTGGGAGGAATTTTACAGTCACATATGACAATTAGTCGCTTAATACAGTGGGTTGCTATCACAGTTTTTACTGCATTAACGACCTTGTTTACAAATTAAACCCATCAACAATGAGTTGTATTTTGGGTTTCATGTTTCAAACTGTTTTTTTTTACTACAGAATATTCTGTGTATCAGTTCAACACACAGGGCTTACAGCAGCTGTGACCAATCAATGAAGGATGTTTACTCCTCCTGAGCACCTGATCCCACCTATGGATTTTCTGGGGGTCCATGTTTTATGGCCTTAATATTATCAACAATGATTTTTCCTTTGACAGTTTTTTCAGAAGAGTTTGTGAATAAGTGAAATATTTTGCACATGGTCAAATACAGCTAGGGCATGTGATTTATAAAGAATATTGTAAAAATTTCCAGTTGAAAATATAAAAAAAAAAAATTCTTAAACTAATCACCTGGCTTGCATTTACAAATGTAGCAACTTTCTTCGTTGAGCTGGAAGCCACTTAGACAGTTCAGGGAACATTTGTTTAGATCTGGACACTGATCTCTCTTCCTGAAGGAATCATCATCTAAAAATATTCAATAAAAAGAACCTTAATTATCAACTGCACTCTTGATAAACTCAACAAAAGAAAAAAAAACAAATTAGGCACAGTGTTCCATCAAACTCTGCCTTTTAGTTACCTGAAAGGTGCATGGCTGAAAGATAACTGATGGCAGAGCTCATTGACCAATTAGTTACCTGAAAGGTGCATGACTGGAAGGTAATGGATGGCAGAGCTGAGTAACCATTTAGTTACCTGAAAGGTGCAAGACTGAAATGTAACTGATGGCAGAGCTGAGTAACCATTTAGTTACCTGAAAGATGGATGACTGAACTCACTGAAGGTGACTGATGGCAGAGCTCAGAAACCATTTAATTACTTGATGATGCATGACTGACAGATGACTGATGGCAGAGCTGAGTAACCATTTAGTTACATGAAAGATGCATGACTGAATGATGGCAGAGCTGAGTAACCATTTAGTTACCTGAAAGATGCATGACTGAACTTACCGAAGGTGACTGATGGCAGAACTCAGAAACCTTTTAATTACCTGAAAAATGCATGACTGAAAGGTGACTGATAGCAGAGCTAAGTAACCATTTAGTTACCTGAAAGATGCATGACTGAAATGTAACTGATGGCTGAGCTGAGTAACCATTTAGTTATATATCTGAAAGGTGACTGATCGCACAACTTAAAAACTTAACACTTTTCAACTTTTTACACAACCATATCAATGTCAGCTGCTTTTTCAATAAAAATGGAACTCTTGAATTTACTTACCTTGTCATTGGTCATTTGCAAAAATATTTTGTTAACTAGAAATATGTCCCTAGGACATGAATGCCCCGCCGAGGATATATTAGTGAAGCAACACGAAAATTTGTATGTGTATAAAATTTGATCAGAATATCTCGAATAGTGATGCAGCTGAATTGTTTACATTAGTATGTATCAGCATATGAAGTTTGACACTAATTTCATTTAAGTGAGGTCCCTAGATGCATGCAAGTTTGGTTCAGGCAGGGCTTATAGTTACTTAGGAATGAAAATATAGGTCAGATCCAGCAACCGAAGCAAGTCTGGTAGTGTCCATCCCTAGACGGATCATCCCTGCAAGATTGGTTCATGGAGGTCTTATTGTTACTTGGGAATGAAAATATAGGTCAGATCCAGCATCCGAAGCAAGTCTGGTAGTGTCCATCCCTAGATGCATCATCCATGCAAGTTTGGTTCAGGCAGGGCTTCTAGTTACTTGGGAATGAAAATGTAAGTCAGATCCAGCATCCGAAGCAAGTCTGGTAGTGTCCATGCATCCCTAGATGCATCATCCATGCAAGTTTGGTTCAGGTAGGGCTTAAAGTTATTAGGGAATAACAATGTAGATCAGATCCAGCATCCGAAGCAAGTCTGGTAGTGTCCATCCCTAGATGCATCATCCATGCAAGTTTGGTTCAGGCAGGGCTTATAGTTACTTGGGAATGGAAATGTAGGTCAGATCCAGCATCCGAAGCAAGTCTGGTAGTGTCCATCTCTATATGCATCATCCATGCAAGTTTGGTCTAAGTAGGGCTTTTAGTTCCTAAGGAATGAACCTGCTCCAAAAACTTTAACCTGGTCACTAATATAGAAAATGTAGGTCAGATCCAGCATCTGAAGCAAGTCTAGTAGTGTTCATCCCTAGATGCATCATCAGTGCAAGTTTGGTTTGGGTAGGGCTTATAGTTCCTTGGAAATGGACCTGCTCCAAAAACTTTAACCTGGTCACTCATCTGGAAAATGTAGGTCAGATCCAGCATCCGAAGCAAGTCTCGTAGTGTCCATCCTTAGATGCATCATCCATGCAAGTTTGGTCCAAGTAGGGCTTATAGCTCCTTAGGAATGGTCCAAGTAGGGCTTATAGTTCCTTAGGAATGGACCTGCTCCAAAAACTTTAACCTGGTCACTCATCTGAAAAATGTAGGTCAGATCCAGCATCCGAAGCAAGTCTGGTATTGTTCATCCCGAGATGCATCATCCGTGCAAGTTTGTGTCAATATGTGAAGTTTGATAACACCATCTTGAATGGTATGTTTAAAACTGAGCTAAACACTAATTTAAGAAAAGTGAGGTCAAGGTCAAAGGAAAGGTCAAGGTCAAAAAATGTTGATGCAGTTGCATAGCTTTCATCAATATCTATCAGCATATGAAGTTTGATGAAAATATCTTGGATAGTTTCTTTGAAACTTAGCTTTGAACAGAGCTAAACGCAAAGTGTGATGGAAGGACAGACGGAAGGACGGAAGGACGGAAGACGGACATGACACACACTATATGCCCCAGCCATATTCATGGTGGGGCATAAAAATCATTCTGATTGTACACTGAAGTACTCTATCAAGATGACATCAAAAAGATGCTGGAGTTTCTGATTGACAATATCTATGGGTTTTTGGAGACACTGTGGCCCTTTTCAAAAAAAAAAAATCTTACGATTAAGATGAAAATTTTCCCATTCCTAAACCAGTATCTAAGCTGTAGTAGGACATAAAATTTTTTCTTTTTTATGACTTTAAGTTATTTAGTATAATATAAAAGAAAAAATTAAATACAGTATATCTATTTCAGAAAATATTTAACAAGAGGCCCAAGGGCCTTGAATTGCTCTTCTGATAAATTGTACAATCTACCACTTCTATTTGAAGCCAATACTGTAAACGTATAACATTTGGCGGTGTATCCTTTTTCAGCGTTTTTGGCGGAAAGAAACTTCCGCTAATTCAAGTACAATGCTAAATGTCTTAAACATAATACATTTATAAGAACATTAAGAAATGCGCTAAACCAAATCTACGCTAACTTGTTCAAAAATCATTTTCTGCCAAATATTGTACACGCTAAATATAATACATTTAACTCTAAGTTAATAAGACACAAGATGCATCAACTGACAAAATTTGATGATTCTTAGCCAGTTAGGACTGAAGGTACATGTACATGTGTATTTCAATATAGCTATAAAATACCATAAGTAGATCACAGTGACCTACTTTTTGATTGAAATTTTCTGAAGACTCAAGATGCTTTAATTGACAAAGACTGATGATTCTAAGCTTTTGGTCGACATTCTCTGAAAACCCAATATGCATAAACGGACAAAGTTTTGATGAATCTAAGCCAATAATTAACCGAGATACTTAAATATAGCCATAAAATGTCACATGTAGGTCACCATGACCTACTTTTTCGATGACGTTCTCTGAAAAGCCAAGATGCACTAACTGACAAAGTCTGATGATTCTAAGCCAATAAGTACCCGAGATATTCAAAAGTAGGTCAATGTGACCTACTTTTTGGTCGACATTCTCCGAAAACCCAACATGCCTCAACTGACAAAGTTTAAAAATTCTAGGCCAATACTTAAATATAGCCATAAAATGTCAAAAGTAGGTCATGGTGACCTACTTTTTTGTGTTGACGTTTCCTGAACAACCAAGATGAATCAATGACAAAGTTTGATGATTCTAAGCCCATAAGTACCTGAGATATTCAAAAGTAGGTCACCATATTTTGATATCCATCAAAATCAAATTGAAAATGAATCCTTTCAAAATTTTCTTGTCAGACAGCTCTCAAAAAATTTGCATATTTTTCTGATCCAGTGGTTCTTGAAGAGATTTTTAAAATAATGATTGTTTGCATTCTCCCGACTCACAAAAAATAAATTGGGTTCAAAGGTAGGTAGAGAATTTTTCCCCCAGCAACTTAAAACATATTTGTTGACAAGATTGAGGGGGAAAAAAGTAAAATAAAAGATGTTTGTAAAACACTAATGCCCCCCTCCCCCAAATAAATTGAATTTTTCTAAGTCCAAGGGGCATAAATCTGTGCCAAATTGCTCGATCATATCCAAAACAGATCTTGGCCTAGATATTCTTATGATAAATCAATATGCTGAATTTCATTTCAGAATGTGCAACGGTTATGAAGAAAATAAGTGGACCGACAGACCAACCAACCAACAGACAGCAGCAATTAAAGCAATATGCTCTCCATTCTTCAAAGCGGGGCATAATAAATTGTTTCCTGGAGATTAAGGTTTTTAGCCAGTCGGTAGGGAGATGGTAAACAAAAAATTTTCTATAACACAGCCTGATTCCATCCAATTTTCACTTTTTCATAATCATCTCCTGAAGATGGTATATGGCCAATCATAAGAATAAACTTAAAGATAAACATAAAGCTCCTTTATCCAAGGATACCCTATACCAAGTTTAGCTGAAACTAACCCACTGGCTCTTCACCAGAAGACATTACAAAAAGACAAACAACTAATAGAGAGGCTCACTAATTGAGCTTTCAGCTATGGAGGTGGCATTTTGTGGTGGTACATGATTGCATGTGGAGAGGTACTAAGCTAGGGTAAAGGTTGAATTTTACTGCAGATTTATCAGTAAATGGTTTACTATAATTGGGAAGAGAGTCTGACAGATACATGCCATCACAGACAGGGCAGCACTGGCCAGAGATTCTCCTGGGGCTGGAACATCTGGTCTCACAAAACATAGACTTGCACTCTGCTTTTCCATTCACACATCTACAGGAAGTACAATCATCCTCCTGCCAGGTTGCATTGTGAACAACATCTCCACTCCCTGTCAAACAACCTACAAGTACAGGATACAAATTTAAATAAATTAATTTCTCATATATTATACTGTTAATATCTTTTTATTTGCAAGAACCTTATTTTCGCATAAATTAAGGGCGACGGTGTGCTGGCGAAAATTAAATTCTCAAGACTGATAAAAGTATTCCTTAGGATTAGCAATAAGCACAATTAGTGAAAATTTTGTCTTGCTTAGGCCAGTCCAAGTTTTTTCTCTGTTTAGCATCCACCCATCTTTCAAAAACCTACCTACCTATTCGCAAAAAACACACAAGCCAAAACATAAAACAAAGGCTTAAAAGTGATAAAAATGACGCCCTTCAAATGATTTGATCTAACTAAACTGCTTTAATAGAAGAAATATCTACTCTTAAGCAAAAACAAGGGATTGAATGCTTAAAAAACACCCAATATAACTTACTGTACAGAATTATTTGAAGAAATTGACAAAATTTAAAAATTTCAATTAAATTAATCAATTTCAGGACTCCTGATGTTGTGTGTTTTTTCTTATTTGGGGTATCAAAAACCAAGGCGCACACGGACGCTAAACATAGAAAAAACTTGGAATGGCCTTATATGTAATTTATCAAGAGTCAATGACTATCTTGCGAAAATTAAGTGATCTACAGTATCTAGACATTATTTATGTTATAGTGAACTACATTTTTTACAAACACAAGATACATGTACCATGTTTTAAGTATACAAAAATTTGCCCTTTTAAGGTATTTCCACCCTTACAATTTTAATGGTTAAAAGTACAAAAATTAAATTTATTTTCATTTAATATAGTTTAAATTTGCCAATTATTTCCAAAAATGTATAGGTCTCCATATTATTTAAGATGGGAGATGTAAATAATCAGAAGCATTTGTCAACATGAAAAATTGTACATTTTTTTGTAAACAGCAAATGTATCATAAATATTTTCTAAAAACTGAGTCAAATGCATAATTATGATGCTGAAAGTTCCTAAATACTTGCTTTGAATTGTGAATATCAGGGAAACTATTTAACATTAGAAGTACGATAAAGAAAATGCTGAATGAAGCTACCTGTGCAGGAGTTATTGCCCTTGTCAACATTTTTTAAAGAATGAATAATTTTATTAAGTAAAGGAAATATGCATTTTTTAAATTCTTTTACTTAACAATATTTGTCATTACATCTATGGAAAACCATTCTTTCAAAATATATTGTGCTATCGGGGTATGAATTTAATTTAATAACAGCTAGTTTTTGCAAAAACCTATGACATCACAGGAGGGTGGAATTACCTTAAATATTTTCATTACTATTTATCTAGATTGTCTTTCAACAAAACCTAGCTAGTAAACTTCTTTAAATGCTTTTTAAAGCGTCAAGACATTCTCTGTCAGTGGCCATTTTGTTTACAGGACAAAATGACAAAGTCTTGGTGGAATGTGATCGTCTCACTACCCTATGGTCAGCCTAACAGAAACGGTGACCTGTTACTGACTTGTTCTGAAACGCCCCCTTATTTAATTTTCATGTCAAATTCACAAAATTCCTATAAATCCTGTTATTTCCCCGTGTCCAGTCACACACTCTTGTTTCAGTAAATACAGATTTTATTTTGGACCCCACTGAGTTGACATATCTGCCACTTGATAAACTATTCATGGAAAACTAATAAACATCACAACTTCCAGTAAATGAGTTTAAATGAAAATCTTATCAAATGCTAGGAATTTCTTCTTTGACATTCTGACACGTACATCAACAAAACAAAAAGTTTCCACATATAATGCAAAAATATTTTTTTTTACATTAAATTTGTATAAAATTAAGGGAAACTTAATCTTAGACTAGTTATAAAATATATGCATTGACCTACTGCCAAATTGGTTTCAGTCTTTAGAAAAAGCTTAATCCATTCCAGTCACTGACTTTAAGCCACAGGCATGTAGATTCTTGTTTCTCATGTATAGCATTAATCTCTATATCTTCAACTTAGAAGCAGGACTAAGACCATGGTTTGGGTGAACACATGATTTATTTTAGTAAAACATCAATATGTTTCAGTGTTACATAATAACCAATAATACACATAGAAACTGCAGATTACATAATAAGCGATAATGAACATAATAAACTGCAGAACACTGAATATCTATAAATATAAATCATGTGATAAATCTCCACTACACTAACCACTCATATCACTTTCACTCAATCACTTTCTCTCATAAAGTTGGGCGGGAGGGGTGGTATAAAAAATACGCAACAAATGGCTGGAAAATTTTGACGAGGTCTGTGTGCACCGAAAAATTTTTTGAAAGTGACGCTAAAATGGTAGGTCTTTCCTAATCTTAAGAAAATACTGCAATTTCATTGGTCAGAATTTAAAAGACAGTCCAGCGTTAATTTGATTGGTTTAAGGATGCGAAAAACAAGATTTTGATTGGCTGGTGAAACTTGTTTTTCCAGGGGGCGCTTTTGCAACCCTGGTAACCAGAATTAGGACTGGGGTTTACCCCTAGGGGGCACTACTGACCGGAAGTAAACAAAGCAACAAAACAAAACAATAGCAAAACAAAATGGCGTCATTTCAGATTTGATTAATAAATATTAAATTACTTTAATCTATCATTAATCTCTATATCTTCAACTTAGAAGCAGGACTAAGACCATGGTTTGGGTGAACACATGATTTATTTTAGTAAAACATCAATATGTTTCAGTGTTACATAATAACCAATAATACACATAGAAACTGCAGATTACATAATAAGCGATAATGAACATAATAAACTGCAGAACACTGAATATCTATGAATATAAATCATGTGATAAATCTCCAAAATTTTCCCAAACCATGAAGAGGTAGGAATGAAAAAAAAAAAGGGTAGCAAAAAAAGAACATGGTAAAAAAGGGGGAGATGAAAAAATATGGAAAAATAAATCACCCCTCCACTTGTAAATTCTTTCACTCACATTCTCACAAGTCCACATACACAATAATAAATATCAAGTAAACGCAAAGTGCATAATTGTCAATTGTACAGTAGTCTTAAAATTTTGTCACTTCACAAAATGTTTCGTGATACCAAGGCCCACTACAGATAGAAAGCGGCGGTCATCATCAGATGGCTGGATCCTGGATGACGCACGACACAGGAGTTATGAAAGCACAACCGTCATATATCAAAGTCTGTCCGCTCTCCATGAATCACAAAAGACATACGAATGTGGAAGTCAAATTTCACAGTGTTATGTCTTCATGACTGTTAGATTTCTGTCACTGATCCAGGAGTCAATGAATTGGTATCACATGTTTGAAACACAGCATGCAAACACTTGATATGCATACAGAATGTTAAGGTATGTACCCATGGCAAGCAGAAAATTTTTGCAAAACATTGCATATTATCAACTACTTGGTAAATTTTCCGAATTCCTCCCCCAATTTCTGAGCTACCTGCAACCGGTGAGAAAGGGAGGGGTCAATGTACAATTGATAAGCATCACTGGCCCAGTCCCCCTGGGATTTAATTAAATCTGAAGGGAGACCACACTCTAAAGCGAAGGAAGCGCCACCCCTTCTAAAGCTATGCCCCGAATAAGCAGATGAGTCCACACCAACTTGGCGTAATGAATATTTTAACTTGGATAGAAATAAGTTGTAAGTCAACAATTTTAAGTTTTGTCCTTCCCGAAATAAAAAGGCTGAACAGGGGATGGGGCTTGCTGGTGTGTGAAGGATAAAAGTTAACTTTAAAATGCAGCAAGGGCAAAATTTTGAGTTGGGAATATGGGGTAGGGGAATCTGAAGTGTTCGCTGATTAAACTGAATAGTTTTTGACCAGGAAACTTTAATCAGGGCTCCCGTAGAACAAAAAGATACATTATTACGGGATAAGTGCCTGTTTTGGTTGAATAAGGTATCTGAAGGAGCAAATAAATTAGATTTCCTGAAAAATGAGAAAAAAGCTACTAGGCAAGCTGCCCAAAAAGTTATATCCTGAGATCTCGAAAAATCTAATACTGAATGGATTTTTGACAAAAGCATCAGGGTAATAGGGAGCTTTGATTTCGTCGTAACTCCCATAATTCTTTTTGCCCCCTTAATGATGTTCTGTGCATAAAAAGTATTTAGGGGGTTTGGGTAGCCTGCTTGCAGGTGTATGTACCGAACTTAATTGACAAATAATTTGCTATGGAATTAAACGACAACTTGCAGGACAAGAACGCCACAAATCTACCCAGGTTTTGTGGTGAAATGGGCACTAATGAAATGTGCATCAGAGTACAAAATTTCATATAGGCCACCAAATAAGTTCGGTAAGTCCTTTTTGTCGAGTCAGCAAGAGCGCTTTTCCTGAATTTAGCCACTGTGGCATCTAAATTGGCTCTGGTGTCTTGGAGCATGTCTTCTGAAAAGAAGAGCAGATGTAGCCTTAGACATATGACCATAAGAGGCATTGGGAAAACTGTCTTGTGTAAATAATTTGGAAAACGTTTGTTGTTCATGTAATCTTGATAATTGGTCTGCTGTCACATTTGCTTTGCCAGGTATATGTTTAACAGTTATTTTAAAGTTATTTATTGCAGACAGCCAGAAAAGTACACGGATATAGTTCATGAGGGTTTTGTTTTTTGATGACCCCTTATTTATACATGCAACTGTAGCTGAGTTGTCGCAAAAGAACAATACATTGTGATTTGTCCATAACTTGGACCAGCGTAGTGCTGCGAGCACGACAGCTAAAGTTTCTTTTTCATTTATGTGCATATTAGCTGCAGATGGGCAATCCATCTGCCAATTGCAATAGAACCAGTCCTGTAGCCAGGAGCCTGCCCCCCCTTCTACACATGCATCTGTGTGGACAGTGGTAATGGGGCTTTTGTGGAGCATCAAAGAGCGACCATTAAATGAGGCCATAAAAGTATGCCACCATTCAATGTCTGCCCTCACTGCAGAAGTAAGAATGGTTTTGTGCGCTTTATGCTTAAGTGGGGAAAAAGCATTAATTAGTCGACGGAGGAACAC